ATATCTGGAAAATAAAATTAAGGGGTGAGAGAGGATTATACTGGGAGAAGGAGAAAGGGAGAGGTAGAATGGGGTAAATTATCTCACATGAAACAGACAAGAAAAGGCTTTTACAGTGGAGGGGAAATGGGGGAAGGTAAGAGGGAATGAGTGAATCTTATTCTCATAGGATTTGGCTTAAGGAGGGAATAACATACACAATGGGGTATGGAAATCTATCTTACCCTAAAGGAAAATAAGGGGGGAAGGGGACAAGAGAGCAGGGGGTTGATAGAGGGGAGGGCAGATTGGGGGAGAGGATAATCAGAAGCAAACACTTCTGAGGAGGGACAGGGTCAAAAGAGAGAACAGAATAAATGGGGGGCAGGATAGGATGAAGAGAAATAGAGTTAGTTTTTCACAACATGACTACTATGGAAGTGTTTTGCATGACTGCACATCTATAACCTGTATCGAGATGCTTGCCTTTTCAATGAGAGTGGGTGGGGAGGGAGGAAGAGAGAAAATTTATAACCCCAAGTTTTAAAAACACATGTTAAAAATTAAAAAAAGAAGGAGATTACTGGGGACACTTTGCGAGCACTCGGTGTAGGACTTGGCTGCATTGCTCATAAGGCGATCCAGGTCACAAGCTTGCCATGCCAGGGTGAGGAAGAGCACTAGTACATTAGAGCTCACAGTCACATGGCAGAAGGAACCTTAGTCACAGTTCCAGGGCAGAAAAGAGTATTTGTGGTCACTCACAGACCAGAGCACAGGCCAAGAAAGCAGCGATCACAGCTCTGCTTAGATCATACCATCTTAGAAAAATTAAAAACTCACAAGTCTCCAGAATTAGCTCTGGAATTTGGTGATAATACTCCTGGGAGTTTTGATTTTGGCACTTCTTTCAGGAGGTGATTGGTGGATTGTTTTGATTTCCATTTTACCCTCTGGTTCTAGGATATCAGGACAGTTTTCCTCAATCATTTTTTGAAATATGATGTCTAGGCTCATTTATTGATCAGAATTGTCTTGGATCTTTGTATTGGTGAAAATAGCTATCATTTATAGTTGTAGCATTCAAATTCTTAAAGAAAAAATTAAATGAGTTACAGGAGAAACAAGACAGTAAAACTAGACTAGTGGCAGACTTCAACTTACCCCTCTAAGAACTAGATAAATCTAACCAAAAAATAAACAAAAAAAGAAGTTAAGTAGATAAATAGAATTTTAGAAAAGTTATGATAGACCTCTGGAGAAAACTGCATGGGAATAGAAAGGAATATACCTTTTTTTCAGAGATACATTGCACCTACACAAAAACTGACCATGTAAAATAGATTAAAAATGAGTTGCAAACTAAATAATCTAATCCCAAAGAATGAGTGCACCAAAGAATAAATCATAATTTCATTAAAGAGAATGACAACAATGAGACAATGTGCCAAAATTTATAAGATACAGCCAAAGCAATACTTAGGACAAAATGTATATTGTTAAACGCTTACACTGATAAAATAGAGAAAGAGTAGATAATGAATTGGGCATGCAACTAAAAAACTATAAAGAGAACAAATTAAAAATCTCAAATTAGACACCAAACTGGAAATCCTGAAAACCAAAGGTAAGATTAATAAAATTGAAATGAAGAAAATCATTGAATTAATATAAATAAAACTAGGAACTGGTTTTATGGGGTTTATAAAATAAACCATTGGTTAACTTGATTTTTTAAAAAGGAATAAAACCAAATTACCAGTATTAAAAATGAAAAGGGTGAATTCACCACCAATGAAAAGGAAATTAAAGCAATTATTAGGAGATATTTTACCCAATTATATCTCAATAAATCTGACAATCTAAGTGAAATGGATGAATATTTACAAAAATATAAATTGTCCAAATTAACAGAAGAGGAATTGGAATACTTAAATAACCCTATCTTAGAAAAAAAAAAATTGAACAAGCCATTAATGAACTCCCTAAGAAAAATATCCACAGGACCAGATGGATTCATGAGTGAATTCTACCAAATATTTAAAGAACAATTAATTCCAATATTATATAAACTAGAAAAATAGGCAAAGGAATCCTACCATATTCCTTTTATGACATAAATATGGTGCTGATATCTAAACCGAGAAGAGTAAAACAGAGAAAGAAAACTATAGGTCAATTTCCCTAATGAATATTGATGCAAAAATTTTTAATAAAATACTAGCAAGGAAATTACAGCAATATATCACAAAGGTCACATGCTATGAACAGGTGGGATTTATTCCAGGAATGTAAGTCTGGTTCAATATTAGCACAAGTATCAGCATAATAGACCATATCAATAACAAAACTAACAAAAATCATATGATTATCTCAATAGATACAGAAAAAGCTTTAGACAAAATATAACACTCATTCCTATTAAGAACTCTAGAAAGTACAGGAATAAATAGATCTTTCCTGAACGTATTTATCTAAAACCAATAGCAAATATTATCTGTAATGGGGATAAGCTTGAAACCTGCCCATTAAGATCAGGAGTGAAGTAAGGATGCCCATTATCACTGCTATTATTCAATATTGTACTGCGAATGCTATAGCAATAAGAGAAGAAAAGAAATCTAAAGAATTAGAATGGGCAATGAGGAAACAAAACTATCACTCTTTGCAGATGATATGATAGTATACTTGGAGAATCCCAGAGAATAAACTAAAAAACTAGCTGAAACAATTAACAACTTTAGCAAAGTCACAGGTTATAAAATAAACCCACACAAGTCATCAGTATTTTTACATATTACCAACAAAGTCCAGCAGAAAGAGATAGAAAGAGAACTTCCATTTAAAATAACTGTAGATATATATATAAAATACTTGGGAGTTTACCTGCCAAGATAAACCTAGGAACTATATGAAAACAATTACAAAACACTTTACACACACACAGAAAGTCATATCTAAACAATTGGAAACATATTAATTGCTCATGGGTACACCAAGCAAATATAATAAAAATTACAATTCTACCTAAATCAATATATTTATTCAGTGCTATATCACTCAAACTACCAAAAATTTATTTTATAGAGCTGGAAAAAGTTATAACAAAATTCATCTGGAAGAACAAAAGGTCAAAAAAATCAAGGGATTTAATGGGAAAAAATGTAAAGGAAGGTGGCTTAAGGATACCAGATCTATCTCAACAAAATAGTAATCATCAAAACAATCTGGTATTAGAGTGATGGATTAGTGGAACAGATTTGGTACACAATACATAGAAGAAAACAACCATAGTAATCTAGTGTTTGATACACGTAAAGATCCAGACTTTTGAGACAAGAATTCACTATAGGACAAAAACTGCTAGGCAAACTGGAAAAGTTTGGCAGAAACTAGGTATAGCCCAACTCCTCAAACCATATACCCAGATAAGGTCAAAATAGACAAACAGATACATGATTTAGACATAAAGGGTGATGATACCATAAACAAATTAGAGGAGCATGAAATAGTTTACTTGTCAGATCTATGGATAAGGAAGAATTTATTGCCAAACAAAAGAGACAGCATTGCTATATATAAAATGGACAATTTTTATTATATTAAATTAAAAAGGTTTTGTGCAAACAAAACTTGCTGCTCACTTCATGAGCACATACAGGCATTATTTTTAGATGTGTCTAGTGTGGAAATTTATTTTGCTTGATTAACCACGTTTTTAACTGGGGTTTTGTTGATTCTTGATTTTCTTGATTTCTCAGTTTTCTTAATTTCTCAACTGGGAAGAATAGGGTGGGATGGCAGGGAGAGAACGTAAATGTTTATTGACTGAAAAAAGAATAAAATTTAGTTTAAAAAAAAAAGAAAGAAAAAATCCAAGGAAACCTAGAATGGAGTACTCAGGTCAAAGAAATTGCAAATCTACCAAATTATCAGAGTAAGACGTTTCAGTGGTCATATTGAATCATGTCTAATAACTTGGGTGGTTAGAGTATAGCTAGAATAATCTGTAAATAACAAATAAAGTTCAAAATATTTTTAATTTTCAAGGACTTCGTCTTAATCCTATGTTCTGAGTTAAGGAAGTCAGGTAAGTGATTGTTTATTATATTTACAGAGTGATAATCAGCTCCAGATAATCTAAATATTATATTTATAAAGAGATAGATCATAAACTAAAATTCACTACAGGAAAAATATTTTATAAAATATTCATATATATGGTCTAATTTCTGACTTTATAATTCTCAATAACTCCTGATACAGAAATTCCCCTGATATTCTAAAATATTTGTTTGTTAAAGAAAAGTTTAAATCTCTGGTTCTCAATTTTTAAATGGGTTTTAATTGTTTTCTCCACAAGAAAACAAATAAGCAAATAGGAACAACAACCCTCAACTTTTTATTTATATTTGATTTATGATTAGGAAGCAATGTACTAGGCAATATGTAGATTACTTTTCTGGAGTTTTCATAAGACTGTTGAAAGGACAAAGCTTTGCAAACCATAAAGCATATGTGAGATGATGATGAAGATGATGATGATGAAGAAACAGGTGTCCCAAGAATTGATATACTGGATCAAAGTCACGGGTCATGTAGCTTAATATTTTGTTGTCAAGAGGACTCAAGGGGCATGCCATAGGATGGCATAGCTGTTGGACTACTTGATGCCAACCTTAAAGGTTAGTTACATTTCAGTTTTCTTAATAGCCATAATAACTCTGCCACTCATCTTTGCCCACACCCTTTCATAAACTTTTCCTATTTTCTGCCTATACTTCTTTGTAGGTAATGAGTTCCAAAGATACATTTGTAATCCACCTATCGCCAGGCTGCAGTAATTAGGTGGAACACCAGGTTACTGGCCAACAGTTAGGCACTTTTATCCTTGAATGTTCTCAGGTGGCACACATCTGGGCTCAAGGCCTTAGATGGTTTTTGTCGTTAACTGGACTTAGAACTTCTTGTTGACATTATAATAGTTAATTCAATGTAAGCAACATTTTGCGAAGACTTACCCTCCTTCACTTTCTGCCTCTTCAGAACTATTGCTAGTCGAGAGAACCCTGCCTGCCTCAGCTTTTTTCTTTCTAGTGGCTCGATGCTGAGGACTTGTCCTGTGGATAGCTGTCTTCCCTCGGAGTTCAACTCGAACATGTTTCTCCAACTCTGGAATAGCTTCTTTGAGAAATCTGACTTCCTCTTTGAGTTCTTCCACACTCACCAGTAAATCATTTAATTTCTCCAGTATCTGAAACTGACTTTGCTGTAAGACCATTACTGTTCCTCTTTCATCATGAACTGCCTCTTGCAAATCCATTGAATGAAGTTCATCGTTCAATGACAGAAATTTAGGCAAATTCATTGTTGTGCCAGGTTTACGAATTTTTTGGTACCATACAATGATCAAGCTTATTCCAGCAGTCCCCATCACGATGCCAAATATTAATCCTCTACTTGTAGATTGAGACATTTCTCTGTTCTTTTGTTTCTGAAATTACAAATAGAAATATAAATGTTACATTTTTTGCTTTGTCCAATAAAATCAACAATGTATACTTCATTTTAAACAACTCTAAGACCACATATTTTTAAATTTATAAAAATGGAAACAAATATAATACTATTTAAATGGTATTAGAAGTTATATATTTAGAGAGTAAAATCCAAGTAAAGTATTATAAATATATTTTTACTGAACTCTCTTGTGATAACAACGCCATTAAATCAGTCCAGAAAAAAAAAATCTAAAGGTGGCAGCTACCTACTGGCGTACTGCAAAGGGACATTATTTGTGGAACTTTCATAAAAATCTAACTTGTTGCTGAACATTTGTAGGTGGTTTCTGTAAAAATGTGTTCCTTAGAGTTGGTTCATAGAAATTACTGAGGATACTTATCACCAAAGGACTAAAATGTTCTGAGAAAATGACTATATTCTGTAAGAAATACAGAATGAACTATAGGAACTCAGTAGCATGTGACATATAGTGGTTTCTCCAAAAGGTACATAAAGTAGAAGAATGCACATTTTTGCATTCTGGACTTCTGTTATATGGTAGTATAAGTTCACTAATATTTATAAAACTTACTGTTAAAAATTTGTTTTATTCTGTTTAGTTTTACTTTTCTAATAGCTTTACCACACAGTGCTTTCATAGCAACTTCATAAATAAAACGAATCAGATCAACTAGCCAAATACATGGAGTTCATGAAATTCTGTCCACAAAGACAGAAAATACCACTATGCTTAATAGATTATATAATCAGAATTAAGGAGCCAGAAAGAAACTTGGTAATGCTCTGATCCAACCCACTACACTGTACAGAAGACTGAGTCCCAGACAATTTAAATCACTTACCAAGGTCACAGGGCTAGGTCAGAACAAACTAGAACCCAGTTTTCCCTAACTTCCACTGTACACAATGCTCTTGTCACTTCATTACATTAGTGGCTTTGATGTTATACTATATTTTTAAAACTGCTATTAAGAAGAGCAACTCTTTTATTTTCTCAAGAATGCTATGAATAAGTGCCTTATTTGTCTATGCAAGAATTTTTTAAGTGCCTCCTCTGTGCCAGGCACTGTACTCAGTGCGGAGAGGTACAAAGAAAGGCAAAAAGAAAAAAACCAGTCTGTGCCCTTAAAGAGCTCACAGTCTAATGAAGCTCTCCTGTGAAATGAGGTCTTTCCATGAAAATGAATTTTCAAAATTACTGAAATTTACCACCTTTTGGAGGCAGTTAGGTTACACAGTAGAGAGAGTGCCAGGTCTGGAGTCAGGAAGACCCATATTCCTGAGTTGAAATCTGGCCTCAGATGCTTATAAATATATAACTTCTAATACCATTTAAATAGTATTATATTTGTTTCCATTTTTATAAATTTAAAAATATGTGGTCTTAGAGTTGTTTAAAATGAAGTATACATTGTTGATTTTATTGGACAAAGCAAAAAATGTAACATTTATATTTCTATTTGTAATTTCAGAAACAAAAGAACAGTGTGACCCTGGGCAAATCAGTTTCCTCATCTGTAAAATGAGCTGAAGAAGAAAGTCACAAACCACTCCAGTATTTCTGCCAAGAAAACTCCAAATGGGGTCACGAAGAGTTGGATACAACTGAAAAATGACTGAACACAACCACCTTTATAAACACCAAAATGCTTTAATTCTGTTTTGAATAGGTGAGGAAGCCAGATGAAAGAGTTGTTATTCTATTTACAGAGTGGTAAATTACTCCTAAATAATCTATGTAATATTCTATTTATAAAAAGATCAAAAACTAAAAATCACAAGGAATAAAAATAAATGTGTTTTATAAAATACATATTTTGGTGCAATCTTGTGACTTCTTTCTTGATATAGAAACTTCTTTTACTAATGCAAACCAGCAACTCATCTATAACTTAAGAGTCTTAAGAGAGATGTCTGGGGGAACTGAGAGGCTACAAGTGACTAGCTCATGACTACTCAGCCTGTTAGGGTCAGACACAGGAACGTAGGTATTCCTAACTCTCCAAGACCAGTTCTATTCAGTAGACTCTCTAATATATATACATACAGAATGAGTTAAAATGTTGAGATGTCATAAATGTAGAGAGAAGAATAAAATATAGCATATGACAAGGTAAATTCATGGTTATTATTCAAAGGCAGTAATTATAATGTGGGTAAGAAAAAAGAGAAACTAACAATGATATAATTCCCCCTCTAACATTTGAGTTACTTAGATAAGCAGCAATTTGAGAGTGTGATTAGAAAAAATGTAACTGAATAACAAAAATTCCAGAGGCATGAATTATAAAGTAAAATGCTAAACAAGATACACAACCGTTTCAAAGTTCAAAACTGTTTCATTAAATTATTAAAATATTTAATTGCAGGTAACCTTACAGTTCATCTATCAATCATTCAACAAACATTTAGTAAGGTCTTATTAGATGTCAAGCACTATGCCAGAAAGTGAGGATCCTTAAGGATCCTCTATCCTTAAGGAGCTGATTTTCCATCAGGAGAATCGGATGTACGTTTATAGCATGTACACAACCAATACAAGTTAAATTCCTGCAGCTGAGGGTTATTGGGAAAGACCTCCCACAGTAGATGGTGCTTGAATTGAGTTTTGAAGTAAAACAGGGATTCTAAAGAGGTGGAGGTTATCTATGTCCAGGTCCCTCATTTCATAGATTAGGGATAACTTTCAAATAATACAACTTCCAAAAACAAAACTTAGTACTTCCTGGAATTCTTAATTTAAATTGTGTGACTTAATTGATCCAAAAAACGAGTTTAGAAATAATATTTGTGCTATATATTTTGAATCCTCTCATGTTCTGCTGTACACATGACATGCTTCTTTTTATTTTGTATTTAATTTCAATATTTAAGTTTATGTTTCTTTCTCTTTTCTCTATTGTGTATTTAAGTCTAAAATAAAAATTTTTTAAAGGCAAAGAAAAAATATTATTTGTGTAAGCAAGGAAAAGCATTCCAAAGCATTTGCTGACCTACAAAGAACTTTTTAGAAAGGGAAATGGGCCTAGAAGCTCAGAGCTAAGGAGTAAGGCACGGTCAAAAAATGCTAGATCAATAGCTTCAGTATTATTGCTGTGATGTAGGAAAGGACTGAAGGTGGGAGGTGGGGTTGGGGCTGGGGCTGAACTAAGTGCTCAAAGACTGGAGGAGAGCCAAGTTTATGTGGCTTGTTTATATGGAAGCCATTGGCAGCTAGGTGGAAGATAAAAGTGCTAGAACTAGAGTCAATAAGACCTGAATTTGAATCCTGCCTCTGATGCTTACTTACCTGCGTGGCATTGGGCAAGTCATTTAACCTTTTTTAGCCTCAATTTCTCTCATCTGTAAAACAGGGATAACACCTACTTCCCAGGGCTGGGGCAGGTATGTGGCTCACTGGATACAGTGTTAAGCCTGGGGTCAGAAAAATTCATCTTCCTGAGTTCAAATCTGACCTCAGACACTGACTGGTTGTGTGACCCTGGATTCTGGGCAAGTCACTAAACCCTATTTGCCTCAGTTTCTTCATCTGTAAACAAGCTGGAGAAGGAAATGGCAAACCATTCCAGTATCTTTGCCAGAGTCTGACACAACTGAAAAATAGCTGAACTGAAAAACATCCCAGGGTTGTTGTGAGAATTAAATAACATATGTAAATTGCTTTATAAACTTTAAAATGCTTTATAAGTGCTAGCTATCATCATCATCATTATTAGTTCCATATATCACATAATGAAGACAGATGAAGTTGGTGTTAATTTTTGTCGGAGGTTTTTTTGTTTGTTTGGCTTGTTTGTTTTCATTTATAGACATGAATTATCAGGTACTACAACCATCCCAATGGGAGTCCTGGATTTAGGGTCACGGTGGAGAGTGAAAGCGCCGGAATCATGAATAAAAAAAATTCATATTTAAGGATAACACAGTTAGACTTGGCCTTTCATTCTTCTTCTTCTTAATATGATTTAGATCTCTCTGTTTTTAACCTTATGACAAATAGATCTCCATACTATATAGATATACTTCTTATTCTAGTCAAGAGCTTTCTCAGGCATTTTAAAAGTAAATTCATAGATGGCAATTTATGATGGGCCAGAGATGAATTGAGAGCAAACAGAAGAAGAGAAGAAAGTTGGTCTTCTGATGACTGGGAAGAGAGAGAAATGTGAATAAAGAAAGGAGGCGACTGGAGAGTCAAGAAGGTGAGCAAAGATATTTACAGGGGATGGTGTTAAGAACTGAAAATATCAGAAGCAATCAAGGCTGGCACTATTTTAGGGAGTTTAGGGAACTTATGCCAACAGGACACCTAGGAAAGACGTTAGTGAGGACAAATTTCAGGGCAGAAAAAACAGAGAAGATATAGCAAGACATGTTTATCTCACTTGGGACATCCAGGAGCTGAGCAGGAGCAATTTCAGCTCTTCAAAACCTAAGACTGTGTCCAGAGAACTATTCAGGAGGGTCTGGTTCCCCCCTCTTCTTAACCTCAGAAGAGCTTCACTTCTTTTATTTCAAAGGAAGGTTAGGCCTGGAGAATAAACCTGCAAGGGCTGCTTTCACCCTATTCTGTACCTCAACTGATTTCAATCTTCATCAGTAAGTACTTTTCCTCTGTTTTGAAGAAAAAATAAAATTTCTTCTTTCCATGGTAAAATAGTGGGCTCTATCTCAGCCTCTAACACGTTCTCTAGGACTCTGCTCCAACAAGTTCTCCTCTCCTTCAATCACCTTCCACCTATCCCTCTCCATAGATTTTTTTTCTACACAGTATACAAATGTGTTCAGATCTCTCATATCTTGGAAAACAAACAAACAAAAACCCTTTCCCTTACTGGTGATACTGCACTAAATTACTGTCCTATTTTTCTCTTGTCTAACACTAAACTTGAAAAAGTAGTCTATCCTCACTGCCTGAATTTCCTCCCCACCAATTCATGCTTTAAGTTCCTGAAACCTGATTTTATTTTT